AAAAGTAGCACAAAAACTCCTCCAAAGAAGGAAGACCAGCACTTTGTCCCTTCACAGCTGCCTCCAAATCAAGACAGAAACCTGTCTGTCCTGCAGCACTCGGGCAGTGAGGGATCAGTCATTTTGGGGGAGATCAGGCGTTGACCCATGCAGATCCAAGCTGAGTTAAGGGGTGCTTGTCAGCCCAGGATAGCACAAACTCCCCCCAGGGTGGGGAGGGACCGAGGTCTGTGCTCCTTTGTAGCACTGTTTCTCCTTCAAAGCCTGCAAGCCACCACAGTAGGCAAGGCAGGGTGAGGATAGGCTGGAGAAGAGAACAGTGGGCTGTGGGTGAGGACCAGCGTGCATGGAAAACTGCTCACCTGTGCTCCCAGGCATGTCTGCTGAAGCATGGCATGGACAGACCAGTCCAGCTGAGGAGCAAAATGGCACTAGGTACACAGACCTGCACAGCACTGTGCAACGTGGCAAATGGCTCCTATGCAGCTGCTTTCTGCACAGGTTTAGGCCAAATGACAGACTTGACCTGGCTGTGCTGGCACAGGGGACTCAGGCAAGAGATCTCAGGCAAGCAGGAGTTAAAGCAGGAGATCATACCTCAGCTAGTAGACCCTTTACTAGTATTTGCCAGGTCTCATCTGCCTGCAGGAGAGAGGGACAAGGGGAGCCAGGGCACCTTCTGAGCAGAAGGCAGGCAGCAGCATGACTGTGTCACAGAGCAGCGGGCACTCAAGGTCTGTGCGTGGGGATTAGCAAGGGAGTGGGGCATTTTCCAGAATTCATATTCAGTGTGCTTAGCTTAATCCACTGTTTTGCTCCATTCCCTCTCAAGCACCACCAGATACGGCAATTTTCAAAGCCCTTTTTGGGGTGAGTTCTTTGTTTGTTTTGTGTGTTTTTTTCTAAAATACTGCAGAGGCAATGTAACACAGCATACGTGCTGCGCCGTTCTGGAAGATGGAAAACAAAAGCTAAAAGAGGATGGTTAACCTTTTCTAATTGTCGTAGCACAGGACTAGTTGCCAGGAGGAACTTGAGTGCTAATCCTACTTTACTCATCATGTGACCTTTGGGTAAGTTACCTAATTAACTTGTCCTTCGGTCTGTGGAGCCTGCAAAGAGCAGGTGTTTCAGTGAAACCCAGAATTACTGAGCCAACATGTGGCCTCAGGAAATAACCAGGAAATAAAACCCGCTGCACTTTTTTAAAGGTGGTATTAATACAGAGAATTAAAATCTCCTGGCGTAAATTTAAGCCCGCCTTTTAATCTTTTGGTGGGGTACAGACTATTTAGTTGAAGGGAAGGTCATGCTGGATGACATTTCGTATTTGTGGAGGAGTGATATAGAAGTTATCTGATCATATTATAACGAAGTCAGTTCTGTTCTCCTGGAGTTCATTTACTTCTACTGAATGTGCATGGATCCTGATTTCCCCTGACCAGCTTGTGCAGTTGCTTCTTGGAGTGCTCTTCAAATACCACTGGGGCTGCCCTCTAGAAGGATGTGGGATTACCCCTCTTTTTCCTTACATTTGAAAGGAGTTTTCCAGCTGAATTGATGCAAAAAGGTATAGTTCTCCCTTGATTCCAAGCTTTTTCAGATTCAGTTTCTCACCCTTCCTGTGTATTTCTTTTTCATAAACTCACTTAAACTGCAGCTGAATCTCTTTTCTTCCTGAAATTATTTGGTATTAGGTACATAAACACAGTCGGATTCTTCATGCTAATATGAAATAAAAAGATACTAGCAATCTTTCCCAGAGATCATCCTATTGCTGGTGAAAGATCTTTCACCCTGCATTGGAAAAAGCACTTTACAGAGCTATTTGCTCCCTCTTTAGCATTTGGTGTCAAAGAAAATGCCATTGCATCTCTGCTGTGGATTACAAACACATCATTTATTATTATCTGGCACTCAGGAGGCAAGCCTGCCTCCTGAGGTAGGTATCGTTTGTTTTCTAGTTTGATCTCTCTTTCATTTAAAGAGGGAGCTTTTTAGGGAGATTTTTTTTCAATGAGCCAGTCCACACTCTTCTTCTCTTTCAAGGAAGTTTGGTCTTCACAATCTTTTGCTACAATTGTCCAATACAGTTCCAACAGAGGGTTTATTTAAATCTTTCCTTTTTATAATATACTGTGGACTGGACAGCTGAAATGCAACCTTGGTTTGGATTAATGGTTTCTACAAGCAGATTTCCAGAATCAGGTTTTGATCCCTTTTTATTTAAAAGTGCCCATAACCACGATGGTCTAATTGAAACCGGAGGCGCTTGCTGCAGACTAAGGAACAATTCAATGGGATTAAGGCAGTGTCAAATCTGGGCAGTTGTGATTAAATTTGGCAAATATTAACTGCAAAATCTTGGCTCAAATCCTAGCCAATATGTATTTGAGCAGTTCCCCAGAAAAGAGTGGAGCTGAGCCTTGCCTGAGGTGTATCAGTGTGGCTGTTCTAACACGTCTTTCCATTGTCTTCACTTGACGGAAGCTAAGGATTTTGGCTCACAAAGGGCAAGCTCTTTGAGGGATGTTAAGTTTGGAGTTTGGAAAGAGCAATTTCCAGGGGAAAAAAGTTTGCAACATGACAATGAAACCAGACAGAAACCCTATTACCTTGAAAAATATAGGAGTGAGAACCTTTCCCAAAAACCCAACAAGCTCCTTGGGGCATGTCCACACCGTGCCATGAAACACGTTGCAACTATCCCAATGCTAGCCACAGAGGTAATGGCAGGACCAGAAGCAGAAAAACTGTGTCAGTGTCTTCTCTGCTCAAAGTATAATATCCCATGATTTCAAGAAATGGCTCACCTCCCCTCAGGTTTTGTATTGTGCTCAATGGGGTTTAGTCTGGGCTTTTTGCAAAGGGAGTATGGACATACTAGCATATTCCGTCACCCGGACAATAAGCCTTGGGACATGAAAAGGAAGAATTTCTTTTTCTGTGACAACAGGACAATGTAATTTGCCCCTGATTACATTGTTAATAGACTGTTAGAGGTTGTTTTGTTCTTCACATGCTCTTCAGAACAACTCATCATAAATCTATCCACAAACTGAAGCAGAAATAATTTTAACAGCATGTTTATCACAAAGAATATCATGCAATGAGTGCACTATGCCAGTTCTAGTGGTATTTTTTACTTGGGGGAGTTGTTTTGTTTATTTGGTTGGTTTGGTTTTATTTATTTGGTTGGGGGGTTGGGGTGTTTTGTTTTGTGTTTGTTTTGTTGTTTGGTTTTTTTTTTTTATTTATTTCTACAGCTGCCCATTAGGCTCTAGGATAAATCTGAGGTGCTGATATCCATCTATGAATCTGCTGCTTCTCTGTGAGACTGCCAGTCTGACTCAGAGCCAAGTTTTGCAGAGGTTCCACAGCTGGAGTGACTAGGTCATTGGCAGCCAGGATCTCCCAACTTTGAAACTGCTCCCCTCTTGTCCTTTGGCCTGAAGTAACCCGTTGAATCTATCTACATACACGTGTGAGCATCAAGCTTCCAGAATAATGTTGACCAACTGGAGAGAGTCCAGCAGGCAGCAACAAGAGGGCTAGAAAACATGAGCTACGAGGAAAGATTGAGAATTGGGTTTGTTTAGTCTAGGGAATTGAAGATGGGTAGATGTGGTAACACCCTTCAAGTGTGTGAAAGGCTACTGCAAGGAGGAAGGATAAGTTGCTCTTCATGTCTGCTGGGGACAGGAAAGGAAGTAGCAGGCTCACAGTGCAAAAAAGGGAATTCAGGTGAGACATTAAAAGTAATTTTCCAATTGTGAGACTTGTGCACCACTGGGATGGTTTGCTGTGTGCAAGTGGTCTTTTTGGAAGGCTTTGGCAGCAGTTGAGATAACTCTCTCATCACCTTCAGCATGGTTGATCCTATCTGGAGGCTGGTAGAAGGACAAAATAAACTTTAAAAGTTTATTCTAGCTCCATTTTGTGTGATTTCTGCTAAGGATGCAGAGCTGATTCTTAATTCTCTGGTGAGTGTTTTGTGACCAGGCCACCATCTGGTTTTACAGACTGTTGTCTGATGGAGGAAGCAATTTAGGGGAGGTGTCCATCTTCAGATTGTCCAGAAGAATATCCCCAAAACACCACAGGGAGTTACAGATGCAAACAAGCATGAAGGGCAGCTTTCAGCTGATGTAAAATTAAGGCTCCCTACTGGACCAGTTGCCCTTGGCAATGTCCAAATTGCCAAATCATACCTGCAGTGGTGGCCAGTGTGGTGGCCTTGCACTGAGGTACACCTTGGTGCCCCAGCAAATAGAGTCAGACAGATACCCAAACACTTAGGAGCAGGCAGGAGTTGCTGAGTTTCTTTATGTAACTCGATAAAAGGAATAGAAACAGAACAAAAGCAAAACCTGAAGCACACAACAGTCTCTCCTCTGGTTTCACAGGGAAGCAAGTTCCAACACTGTCAAGTCAAAGATTAAATAAAAAGAAAAAGCCAAGGGCACACTGCCATGCATATATTAGGCCTGTGTAAAACAATGGTGCACATGCCCTCACAGATATAAACACCGTGAGGCAAGCAGGGTGCCTTAAGACCTGACAAAGAAGCTGCCTTTTTTCAGCAGATTCATTGGGTCTGTATTTTTATCCCTTCCTTTTCTGTAATCCTGTCCATTTTTAATGACGGAGCATTATGCAACTGGTATTTGCCTGGAGGGGTACCCTGTCATGGACCAGCACAGGAGGAGTGGAGGCTTGGATGGCAGTGGCGGCCTATGGAACCCCAGGTTGTGGCCACCCATGATGCTGCTCTCCGGAGAGGTTGGAACTCATCTTCACTGCAACAAACCAGGGACTGCTGGGCAGAAATCTCCCATGCAGCTAAGCCAACACAAGTACCATTGGCTAATTTAGAATTATAAGACATTTCAGACTTACCCACAGAGAGCAACTCTCCCCTGTTTGTGAGTTCAGTGCCTTTCTGTTGCACTTCTTCACCCTTTTGTCCTCTTCTGTGACTCTTCTGGAATTTAAATTTGAGATGCACACATCAGCCAAGGGCCAGCAAGCTCCTTCGACCTTCCACTTCATTTGCAACAGACCCATTTCTAAGTAGGAATAATGATAGATGCTGATGAGGTGCAAGATTTGACATTTGTCTGGAAGTGCAGAGGCATGCAATTTCTAATTTCACAAAAATCTAGAAATGGATGGATATTTTTCTCTTTAGTCTGCAAAGCTTTGAAGGTCAGCAATGCATTTGAATTTTCATAGCTTTCAAAAGTGCCTGTTTTTCCATGGATTTGCTAGTTGCTCAGATTTTTAAAACCATCAGTCAGTAGCCCAGCACTTGGAATGTGTGTGTGTCTCCTGAACACATCTGCTGACATGCACCAAGGGAGGAGAAAGCAGTCCTGCTGACTAGTCTAATGCTGGCACCAAGTCAGGGCTGGACTAACAATGCCATCAGATGCTTTAGAAATACTTAGCAGGACAGATAGGTGTGTGCCCTAGGCAGCAGGATTACAATCTTCATGTGTTGTCCAATGAAATAAATCAAATAATTTTGGTGATCACGATCAGTGTTAAGGTTTTTTTGCATTTGTGTATCTGGAGGGATCTTTGATGGGGTGCCAAAGCATTCACTTATTTTTATAGTTGGGGTTATTCCTCCAAGTAAGACTCAGACACCTACTTCCTATGTATGAGCTCACAAATGCAGCTGATGCGACTGCAAGTCACATTGTGTGCCCAAGTTGTCTCAGGGAGCACATCACCTGGATCCCAGATGGCCAGGAGCCATTCACATGGGACAGGGACAGGGTCAGAGCAGGGTGCATCTGGTGCAGCTGGGGTGCAGGCTCTCTATGAACTCCTGGTTGTTCTTCCTACGGCTGCTTGGGGCAAAGGTTACTGAGTTCAGCGTCGCTCTCTGCTCCATGTATACAGGATGTACTAATGCTTTAAAATGTCACTGAATGAAAAGTGTTTTATGAATAAAGGGTATTAAGCTTTTGTACAATGCTGTGGCTCTTGTATTTGCTTTGGGTCCTGAACACCCAGCCCAAGTTACTGGAGCAAGTAATCTCCCAGTGCCTGTTGCCGCACGCACCACAAACTGCTGTGACACACACAGCTGTCTCATGAATCTAACTCAGTGTTTTAGCCTCATTGCACTGCTTCAGATGCCAGTTGGAGGGACTTCCTCTTCTCTTATACAATGGTGTTTGGGTAGGGTTCTTTTTCTGGAGAAAATCCTGCAGGGGAATCCCAAGCCAGATCTTTCCTTGACTGCCACTCCTGCCAGCTGCACATCTAGTACTGCAGATCTTGCTGAGACTAAACAACAATTTTTAAGGTTGTTGAGGAATTCTGCTTGAATGAATGTAGCTAAATCTGCACACCTCAGCAGGAAGCACTCTTCAGCCAGTACATTTATGGAGGATTGTAGCACAATGCACTGTGGAGCAAGCCATGGGGTTGTTACAAGAATAAAGCATTCTGGCTGCTGTCATATCACACTGGGACCAGTCAAACTGGAATACCCCAGTATAGAGCCCTTGACTTTACGTAAGTGACAGGGCTGGAGTCCTCCAGGAGACTAAATTGTCATGTGCCTCTGGCAGAGGTCAATTGAAAGTGAGGCCAGCCCAGGTAGTAATATCAGAGGCACCCCAAATGGAAGGAAACATGATTAAACTGATTAAATGAGTCATGCCTATATAATCCTGTGCTGCAGAGGTAGGCAGAAAATCCCACCCTTACCACTCTGAGCTGCAGATAGCAGCATCTGGCAAAAAGCTTCTTATTGTAGGTACCAAGATGCTGGTGTCAGTGTTATTTCCTAGAGAAAGGGTGGCATTTTTGCTTCACCGAAGCATGACAAAGCAAGAACGGTCAGTATCTGGCCTGCGCTCAAGTGTCAGGGTGTCTTGTAACTGAGGCACACAATAAGTGCATCTTCGTGAAACTCCTGAAATGGAGGAAGTATGAGGAAACCAGAAAGATTAGTCCAGTAGGCATACAATTTATTTGTGCATATTTCCACAGACAAGATTTATGTCAATAAAGTAACTGCAGCTCCTTTTGGAGCAGCCACAGAAGGATGGGATAAGTGCACTTTAAAAAAGGTGAACTGCCTTAAAGTGGGTTTGACTGTGGACCAGTTTATGAAGCTGTGAGAACTTGATGTGTCATGACATCCTCGGACTATTCAGGCGGAAGAGGAGATTGACTGCTTCTAAAGTCAAGTATTTCCAGGGCCACCAGAGTAGACTCAGTGGTCTCACAAATAGGACACCAACTGGGATTGTTTGGTGTCTGGTTTTGAGGACTGGGTGTGTGACATCAGACAAGTCCCATCACTGTGGTGTACTCTCTTTTCCCTGTTTGTCCTTTCTCTTCCTTGCTTACACTTGCCAACTTTTCAGACCGTACACAGGCCATTACTAAGTGTTCATACAAGAGTTCATGTGCCCTTTAATGTCTCTAACTATGAAGGTAGCAGTTTAGTTTCCAAATATTGTTCAATCCTTCTAATACACAGAGCTATTTCTTTCTACTGTCTCTTACTAAGCAGTAAAAGTACTGGAAAGTCTTTCTGTTCTCCTACCCTGGAGACAAATGGGTAAACATTTCCAACACAGTCATCTTTTTAGCTGACAGAGGGACAGGCCCATCTCCCAGGGGCTGGTCCAGGGTTGTCATTTCCCTAAAAGTGTGAGGATGAACATGAAGGCTGTGCTCATCATCAGCTTTTATGTCACTATTCTAAATGTGACATAATCAGAGAAGGCTGCTTCTCTGGGAGCAAGAGGGGTTTAAGGAGGAGGCCACTAGCTCAGCTAACAGACCATTTACTAATATTTGCTGCTCTGTAAATATTGCAATAGGGCAATGAAGCCAAGCGGGCATCTCGAATGTCTTGCCTCAGGCTATGCCTTTGCCTCAGAGAGGAAACTGCAGGCCTAAGGGATCCATCTTTCTCTGTCTAGCTAGTTCATGCATGTGCCATGAGCAAAACAAGCCTAGGTGAGGTCCCTCAAGTATAAATAGCCACACCAGAATGTCGATGAGGCTTTCAGCTGGCAGGATGTCAGCTACCTCAGGTATGTCTGCCCATGCCGCTCTACCCATCCTGCTCTTGCATTTCCCAGCTGCAGCCTGCATAGCTGTAGAGCTAACACAGATGGAGAATCCAGCTCCCTTGCTCCCAAGTGTCCAAGGAATGACCCAGCCATCTGCAGGAATCATTACCGTCCTCCGCAAGAGGGGACAAGGTCAAACCAATTGAATGTTGTCTAAAGAGGATCTTGGGGAGGGAATGTTTTCATTACAACAGTTCATCTTTCTTTTCACAGTTCATCAAAAGCAGGCCTTCTGCATACACACGCAAGACAAATAGGACTGAGGGGTGATGACGGATACTGTAGGCCCGTGGTGATTGGGATGACCCTCCACTCACACAGTTGATCAAAGGCAAGTAAAACAATCAGCCAGTCATCAGCAAAGATGTAATATTAAACTCCCCAAACACCTCATTTAATTAAGTCTTTATGATCAAAATCTCCATACCAGATCTTTTAAGTTAAACACTCTTAGACCTTGCCCTAAGATAGCAGAAAAGGACTTCCGGAGGGAAAAGGTCTGTAAAAAAATTATTAATAAAATAATGTCTCTTCCCTCTACCCTCCCAAATAATTTACTTTCTGAGAGGATACACTTCCATCTGATTTGCCCAGGCAGAGCTCAGAAAGCAAGCTGGGGTGCCTCATACCCAGCACTTGTTCCTGCTTATTGTGCTGCAGACAAAAAGCAGGAAACAACAAAGCTGCCATTTATGATGTCATATTCTTGTTGGGGTGATGACTATGATGTGAACCTGCTGCTGGCCTTACAAGTCTGAGCCAAAGCTGACTGAAAAATGTTAGGCCTGGGCAGGTGCAGTGCCACTGCAGGAGGGGAGGAGGGGTGGAAGGGAACAGGCATACACCAGATATATATCAGTGTGGAGCATGCCTGCGCTGTTCAGCCTGGTCCCCAGAGAGTAAAAATTTCTGAGCCAGACTCAAGTCAAAAACAAGATGGAACGTGAAATGCAGATGTCCTGGAGGTGGAGCTGGAATTTATAGTAAAGAGTATCTAAGCTGTTAGAGCAGGTCCAGAGGAGGGGCACAGAAATGATCAAAGAGTTGGAGCAATTCTTCTACACAGAAAGGCTGAAAGAGTTGGGGTTGTTCAGCCTACAGAAAGAAGTCTCCAGGAAGACCTTAATGTTACCTTTCAATACTTAAAGGAAGCTGGTAAGAAAGATTTTTTTTACCAGGACCTGTAGTGACAGGAAAAAGAGTAACAATTTTAAAGTGCAAGACAGTAAATTCGCAGTATCATCACAGTTGTAAGAGATCTTAAAGATCATCTAGTCCAACCATCAACCAAATGCCACCATTATCACCCCTAAACTGTATCCTCAACTGCCACATCCAGTTGCCTCTTGAGCACTTCCAGAGACAGTGACTCCACCACCTCTCTGGGCAACTTACTGCAATGCCTAACCATTCTTACAGTGAAAAAATATGTTCTAATATCTAATCTGAACCTCCTCTGGTGCAATTTCCTCTTGTCCTTTTACTTGAGACACAGCAGAAGAGACTGACCTCCACCTCCCTACAACTTTTCAGGTAGTTGTAGAGAGTGAGAAGCTCCCCCCAAACCTCCTCTTCTCCAGACTAAACAACCCCAGCTCTCTCAGCTGCTCCTCATAGGGCATATTTTCTAGACCCTTCACCAGTTCCGTTACCCTGCTCTGGACATACTTCAGCACCTCAATGGTTGTTTGGAGTGAGGGGCCCAGAACTGGACACAGTACTTGAGGTACAGCCTCACTATTGCCAAGTACAGAGGGACAATCACTTCTCTAGTTCTGCTGGCCACACTATTTCTGATACATGCCAGAATGCCATTGGCCTTCTTGGCCACTTGGGCACACTGCTGGCTCATATCAAGCCAGCTGTCAACCAACACCCCAAAGTCACTTTCTGATGAGCAGCTCTCAAGCCACTCTTGTAGCAGTCTGTAGCACTGCATGGAGTTGCTGCGACCCAAGTGC